AATTAGATACGGTCCAACATAAAGTACTGACCAGCGAGTCTCATATTACATACTGTTTAATTTATCAATTTCTATTATTTCTATCATTATTATTATGTCAAGATCTATTTAGTTCTTTATACTAATCAATCATTTATAATTTATATACTTTCTTTATTTTGTTGTTATTGTTGTTTGTTAGTTTCATTTCTTATCGTTTATTGAATAAATCAAATTGTTGAAAGATTTTGACCTGTGGATTTCACTCCTTAACCGCACACCACACGAATCCCACAATCTTTATTCGCGAAATCGAGTCGTTTAGAGGTAAAAGCCGCTCTTTACCTTTTAGCGCTTGTAACTAACTAAACTTAGGTTCTAGGGACGTTACACATGTCGCCAATGATCCCTGCGACATTGATTTACCGGTGAACAACGAATTAACGCGTTCGATCGCAGGGTAGCAGGTGTAGCACGCTGCGATAAAGCGAAAGCGTAAAAAACATTTGCATCCAAATGCATCTTTGTACAACCCTGACCTACCGTATTAAATCCTCATTACCTCTATATCTGTTAATTTCGTTTACATTCATGTTAACAATCTCTCCAATTTGAGTAAAATGAGTTTTGAAACACAAATGAGATCGAAAGTGTTTTTTCCAAAAACATTTTACACACATTTGTTGGTCTAAAGAACAAGTTTTGTTTCAAACATTTTTTAACATCTTCCTTCGTTTACGATTTATAGGCAATAGACCAACTCACATAAGAAAGTTGATTTTTTCTAAAGTAGAAATTGACATAGAATTACGGTTATGTTCTTAGATATTTCTGGTGATTAACTAAAAATAGTGAGTAATCAGTTAACGGAGTTCCCTAATTAATCTTGTAAACATTTCCTAACATAATGTTGCAGCAAAGCAACACCAACTTCGGGCTACACATTTGAAGTTGACTATGCTAATTTAATTAGAGGTTTAGAGGCGACTTGTATGCACGCTGCTACTAAACAATCCTCGATCACCGGTTATGATACACGGGCTTTACGCTATAAGTTAAAGGTGCTGACATTTACGAGATCTTAACACGTCCCATCTAGAATTTCGGTGTTTACCTATATCGCGGACATTCGACGCACGACTTTTCCACGGTAAGTGCAATCATGAGAACACGTCAGGAATTTTTCCAGGAAACGCTCGTAATTTCAATTTTCATTTACGTGGAAATTCACGCATAACGGTGTTGATTGCGCAACGCGTTCTTATATCACGCATCCGGGATTTCAGCGTGTCACTGCGATCAAAGATAATTAAAAATCGACGTAACTGTTCCGGCTTTTGCGGTTTATCTCTGTGAACAGGACTCATTCAGCACTGTTCTCGTTTTCAAGGTGAAACGAAACTTCGCGAACTTCTCACAATGAATCATTACTTTTACGTACTTAATCATTACTGTACGTACTAAATCGTACATGCAATTTTTTGCTGTGCAAGTACCAGACGAGACACTTCAGCGATAAACACGGTATGCGTAAATATTTTGCTAATTTGCTAACGACAACGTTACAGAGTAGAAGTTTTAAGCATATTACACTTTTAGGTACAAATAAAATTGTAAAATACTCTTAAAATGCAACTTGTAATACCTCACAAAAAAGCAAAAGGAGATGTTTTTAATTACGCTTAACATATATTTTAATTAAACGCGGAGTTTTTGAATCAATTAAATATTAACCTGAAAATGTGCTGCTACATTTTCCAAATATTTGGATAGCGAGAAAAGTGAAGAACATACGGGCACCGTTACTGTATTTCATAAATGACATTCAAGGTAAACATAAATGTATATTTTTTCTGTTTTATTGGAAAATAAATATAATTAACGTTGACTTCACTGAAACATTGGAATTCTGATGAATTTCATTAAAAATTTTTCAGGCAACGAAGAGAAATATTTTGCAGCGAAAAACAAAAATAAGCAGTCTGTCGAAGAAAGTAAAACGTTCAGTGAAAGTTCAAGTTCCAAACTAACGTTAACAGAATGAATATACAGAGAGCAATTAATTAACATTGTTCACTCACATTACAATTTTCAGCGTAAAGATAACAGACCATTTGAAATTAGAATACTTTTAAATGATAAATGACCGTGTTGCGAGGCAAATGCAGAAACAAGCTCTTGCTCTAAATTTCTTTCAAGCTCTGTTTCACAGTAACCATTTGTCTAGCGCTCACCGTTTTAAAAACTAAGAATTTATCGTTCAGTAGAAACAGTACTAAAAATAGTCTAGAAAAGGACGATACCAGTTACGAGAGACAAAAATTTGTCTATTTTTAATTGCAGAAAACCCCGGAGCACCGGTATTACCTAGCGCTTTCCGAATAAATTAAGTGTCAGGTTATTCGCAGTTATCTTTTCCGGCTAGTTCCTCGTCGTATTTCATCAAAAGTTCTCGCAAAAATTCTGTATATAACCAACGGTGCCCATTACCTCCATCACTGCCGGTCCCTGGATCAGATATAAATAATAATAACTGTGTACAACTCACTTGGCTCATTCAGATCAGATATCTCCAGCTGCGAGTAAACCGTGGCAACCCCCAACACGAACACCGTGGTCGTAGTCGCGACACTCCACCGGCACCTCCACCACATTTTGTCTCCCTTTCGCGCACTGAACACACACCCTCGAACTCGAACTCTCGTCGTCCCGACCGACCTAACCACCACCTAACCCGCCCGTCGCCCTTTCAGCGGTTACGTAGTCTCGCGACCGTCGTGAGCCGGCACTAATTGCAGCCGCTGTTGTTGCTGCCAGTGCAGTCGGTGTTCTCGTTGTTGTTGCCGATGTTGCTGCCGGTGCCACTGCCGTTGCTGCATTGCGCCGCCGTCGTCGACATCGTCCCGACGCCTTTGTGTCCTCCTCAATGTTACCGTCGTTTTCCTTCTGAATCCGCTGCGTGCCCCCTGCTCGCCCTCCACGACAGTAATCGCCTTTGGACCAATCGTTCCTGTCAACTACTTTCAGCGATTCGACGACCAACTTGATCACGCAACTTCTTCCCTCCTAATTGCTACGCCGGGTGAGAGAGGATCTTCAGCCGGTGTCTCAATTAATCCCGCTCCGCGAGATTAATTGAACGAGACGAGATTGTTACTCGGATTTCCACGGTGAATACTTTGAACGGTCGATTGGAACGTTTACATCACACTGGCGACGCTAAAATTCGTTGAGTTCCTTCTTCACAATCCTACGAGATGAATCTTTAAATGATACCGCTGGATTTAGGGCAAATTAGACTTTCGGATGCGAAGCTTAACGATGCCGACTCGGAGGATCCTTGTCGTCTTCGACAATGCTAGTATCACTGCATGTGCTAGTATCACTGATGATGTAGTTGGGTCACTGACGATGTAGTTAGGTCACTGACGACATATTTGTGTCATTGACGTTATACTTGTATCACTGACAATCTACTTGCATCACTGTCGAGTCGATGTACTGTTCGAGTCAGTCGGTACACGCCGTCAGACAATTTTAAATTGGGAATTCGAATCCGCGCATTTGAGACAACACTCGAAAACACTAATGACGAACGCGTGTTAAATACGGAAACACCATAAACTCGACCGGCAAATGTAGCTGTATGTACACAAAAACCTAACTTCTAACGAACGGAGTTCTTGAAATATCCAGGCGCGGCTGCGATGAACCTTCTAATGTTTTTGATTTAAAATAAACGTTCCTCCGACGTTACGTGACTGTGTATACCAGTTCGAATTCTCGGTTAGCGAGAATCGTCAAACCCCGGATTGAACGCAACCACAAATAACGTTCCAGATACAGGTCTAGTTTACTGCAATGGGTTCGTGTGAACTCGTCGGTCCCGTCTTAGGGCTTGTTACTTGCACCGCTACTCCACTCGGAGCGCGCGTCGATGAACACGTATCAAAGGTATTCAAGGTATTGATATATCTGGAGCAATTAAATTGTTACGTATCGGAATTAATCAGCCGATGCAATTGATTTTATTAGCGCTCGTAACCGAATCACCGGTTCTCCATCGACGAAACTCGCAAGAAGGTTTCACACACTGCCGCGGTAAATTATTCCGTGTCACGGAACTGCACTCTTTTATTTATCGAGTTAACGATGAATCGTGGCTCGATATTCGCATGCACCGTTACGCATACACGTGTGTTTCTCTTTCTGAGGATCATCGAAGACAGTCACGCACAATGGACCAATGCTCGATAAAGGTACAACCCTTGCATTCAAAAAGATGCTATTGTATGTATTGGTTTGCGAGAGCGTGCACATCTCCCAAAAAATGATAGCTCCGATGTCGGCTGACTGTCACCATCAATTTGAATGAACGGATAAACGGTCGACGATGACGAATGACATAGATGACAGGGAAGAGAAAATAAAAGCATCCTTTTCCGGCACGATTTTAATTCATACAACACGCAAAGCACCGAAATTACGTTCGAAAACGAATGACGAAATAAACCCTCCACAAACCGGAGCCACGTCGAGTCCTAACCTGTGGCGGCTCGGTACTGAAACCATTGAGTACCGCAAAAGACCGCCGCGCGTCGCTTCGGCTATCTTCGCGGGTACTCGTGCAACTTCGGGCACGCTCGCTGTGTCTGTCCTCGTCGCTTTTGGCTCGCCGTCCACCTTTGCTTTCTATCTATTTCCTACGATCGAGCTTCTCTTCTCTTCTTCCTCTCGTTTTCTCCGCTACGCATGCCGCGCGGAAATCACTATGATTTAGTGGCGCGGCTAATGAGTCACCGTAATCGCCACGGTGCTGCCATGCGGGGCATTTGTGCGTGAGCGTAGGATATCCGAAGGATCAACGTGGAACGTGGCGAACAAACGGAGAGCGTGGGGGGATGTTGTTCCTCCCATTTTAATAAAGGTAGCAATATAGCCGCGAACGAACATCTCGCGTTTTAGCCGAATCACCTTCAAGGAGGACCGTTTTTATTAGAGGAACGAGAAGCTAGGGAGACGAGCGGTCCAAGAATTCTTGAAATTTGCCGCGTTATGTAAGGTGGGTTACTTCGAAGTTTATTCGATTCCGGCCACTTGCGAAATTAATACGCTTTATGGGACGGTGACGGTCATAATTCTCTCTTTTCGCAATAGTGCGTGAATTCGTTGATATCTATGATATTTTCAGATTGAATTCTTTAAGTATGGTCGGAAGATTATCCGCTGCGGAATAGATTAAGAAATCTATTTATGAGGAAGTTATGGGGTTTATTTATTCAGCTGCTTGCTGAGATTTATGAAAGGGACGGAGGAAAAGATACCAATTCCCTTAACGGAAAATTTAGTAAGTTATAAGTAGTAACAGTTATCAATTTTACTGTAAAAGTAGTAAGGTAAACGATATTGTTGGATAATTGTTTAAAAACAATCGTTTATTGACATGTAAAGATGTTTTGATAAGATATTGATTATTGGACGTGAGTACCTTTAAATCAATTTTCAGATATAGAATATTTGATGAACAATTATCAATAAAAATTATATTTGGTTGATTATTCTGATCGTTAGCTACAATAATTTTTAACAATTATATAAATGGGAATTTATGAGTTTGTTATATTTTACGATGTTAACAAATTTTGCACAATTTTTTTTATGAAACTGATGACTGCAAGGATATGCATATATGTGTTTAAGAACTTACCTATTTAAAATCTGCTTTATATCTGATAATACCTTGATAAAGGAACAATTTTTTAAGCAGTAAGCAAAATACCTCAAACACTGTTAATGTTAGTGTTTTTGCAAACAGTTCGTTATATTTGTAATTTTCAACAAAAATCACTAACGTGAATGTGATCTCTGATGAGGTCGCATTTATTTGTCGTGCAAATAAAAAAGAAATGAGTAATAATTTTCATTCAGTATTTACGTGTCTATGAAGATCACATCTCCTTTATTACTACGTAAATACAGGTAAGCAATATCGAATTATTTCTAAAAAGCTTATGTATTATAAAACATTATCGAAAAATGTATAAAAATGACAATAAAGAGCATTTATGTATACCGTGGCAGATAAATCCTGTTATTAACTTGTACGTTGCTGCTTATGGTTGTCTTTATAACCACGAATTACAGAACTATTAATTTCCATTAATCTCTGTCAGCCTCTGTCTACGATATTGCATTTCAGGATACATGACTGCAACCTACACTTTCAACAAACTAAATCGATGATAGAATTTCTGTCTTCGTGTAATTAACACAAAAAATGGGGGCAAATTTTTTGTACTTTTGCAAATAATTTACAGATAGATATTAAATAAAAATGTAAGTATTAATCAACTATAAAAACTATGTTTTATTTGTAAACTACTATATTTAAGTTCGGAAAACTACATTTTTGAATTATACATATGTTAAAATTTTAATATTTTGATTAAGGTTAATAAGTGCTATTAAGAGAATTGTGGAACGTTTGTGGATGATTCCTATTACTGCCTTCTGGGTTAATGGAATTTCAATGCAATATTATTTGTACTTAACGAATTTTAATATAATTCTACTTGCTTTTGTTATCGAATGAAAATAATAAGTTATTAGTACGTTGATTACCATAGGATCATAAATGACCAAACCCTTAAATTTTATGCAATAGATTAATCAAAATTTAAGAAAATGGAAACAAAAAGACCATTGAATATTAAGATTATATGTAGGCGCAGTAAGGTAACAAATGAAAAGTTCAAAATTTGAAATTATCAGGAATATCTATTAACACAATACATTTTAGCTATATTGTCAGTGACGACATTCTAGAAGGCAAAAGTTCTTGAAATTTACAATATATTGTGTTAGACGAATAGTTCCATTTTTTAACATTGCAACTATCTTCGTGTAATCTCATGTGCTACAATAACAACTAAGCACTGATGTGCACGGTGACAATATAACGAAAGTCTGCTATAATAGATAATTAAATATACAAGAAGATTGATGGTACTAGCAAAAACAAATTTAACTTATTAATGTTTATACGCAACATTTTCTTTCATTTAAAATGAATGTTTGAAACCACGTGAAAACAAATGAAACGCACGATGTGAACGTTAATTAGTATTAAAATCATTTCTGGCCCTTTTTACGTCTAAAAATATAAAGCATATTAATGACTCTTTTAGCGAAGTATATTTTACTGCCTTTTTTCATTGAATCAAAATGCAAACGTTCGCGACTATTCAAGAGTACAAAGACACTCATTTTGTACCTTTTTGCAATTACTACCCTTTTCTACAGTTACGTGGAATAGGTATTAAAATTATTTTTTCTCCGTATTGCCAGTCTTTTTAAGCGTTTAATTATTTCCTCGGGCTGGGAAAAATAAAGGAGCTAGATTTTACTTAATAATTGATATCTTCAGTCGTACTGTAGGTGTTCGTTTTCACTGCGAAAATTAGTGTTAAAAGTGTAGTCATACAAGAAGTAATTCATTCTCTATCAACTTACACAATTTGTATTTCTATTATTACGTTTTATAACAGTTCTCGTTTAAAAATTCTCATTCATCTTGCACAACTCGTTCATAAAAAGACTTTCCATACCTTCGTAACTGCCTCTTACTTAGATTGTTGATTGCACGCATTCCCAGAATCTTTGCCTTCTATACAGACATACCTGGTAATTACGTTCTGCGAATTGTAGCTACGCTT